CCAGTCCCCTCCCCGCCAACTGTCCTGGCCCCCAGACATCGCCCCACACCCTCCCACAGACACCTTCACCTTCTGAACCAAGTTCCGGGCCGCCCCAAAGTGCGAGATGATTTTATCCACTGAGGCGCTCACGGCTATCAGGAGACCTGGGAGAGGGGTGGAGAGGGAAGAAGCATCAAGCCCCCTGTCGCCTCCAGGTGTGCCCGAGGGGCTTAAAGAGACGGTTCATGCAATCTGACCATGAGAGAGGAGGGCCCAAGGGAGGGGCAGCCGGTTCCCGAAGCCAGGGGTCCGGAGGCAGGGTGGCCTACCTTTTTTCTGCTCCTGCAGCTGGCCAGTCCCACTCTGGGCTTCTGCCATCCACAGTCGCTGGGCTCCGGGGACGCCGGCGAACGACCAGGAACTACGGACTGGGTGAAGGGAAGAACGCGGTGACACTTACCAAGGGTTACCCCAGGACTCCAGGCTTCTGCACAGGTCACCTCCTGCGACTCTGCAGCGCCCCTGCCCCCGAACGGTCTTGGGAGAGGGGACACAGGGCTGGGTAGAGCACGGGTCAGCTCGACCCGGGCCCCGGTAGTGAAGTCCCGCCCCGACCCCAGCACGCTCGGCCCCTCTCCGCCGCCCCTTCCCCGTTCCCATTTCCTTCCTCAGGGCCGAGCTCCCACCTCCTCGATCCCGGAAGTCCTGCTCGCACCAGGATGGGAGGTGACAGGCGAAGGAAGGGAGGGGCACCCTCTGCCCGCCCCAGGCCCTTGTCCCGCCCGCGGAGACCCGGGGAGCACGTGGGGAGCCCGGACCAATGGAAAGACAGACAGTCGGGAATGGGAGGGAGGAGAAGGAGACAGGGGACCCAGGGACTGGGAGGCTAGAAGGCGCCGGGAAGGGGAAATCCGGGTCCCGCGGCAACATCTCGGCGGAGGGCGCCCCCGTGGCCCACGTGGGGCCGGCCTCGTGGGGGCGGCGTGCTCAGGCCCTTTTCGGCCAAGAGGCTCGTGGAGCCTCACCCTCCACGCTTCCCGAGCAACGTGGAGGTCAGGCCCAAACTACACTGGCCAGGGAATCCACAGAGGGTGTGACCCAAGGTCCTTAACAATAAACTTGCTGGGACCGCCCTAAACTCAGTATGGAAGCTGGGCAGGTCCGCGTCCACTACGCCGGGGCCTCGAGGGAGAGGGGCAGCCTCCCCGCAGCACGGGAGCGAGTACGGACTCCGCAACACTTGCTCGGAGTCGGCCCCAGGTCGAGGGGCGGGGCCGGGAAACCCGGGAAAGAACTGAAACGTGCGTGTGGGCGGGGGCTTTGGAGGGGCGGGGCTTTGGAGGGGCGGGACGGCCGCCTGGGGCGTGGCCTGCGGAGCCGGCCCGTGTCCGTCTTACGTAGCCTGGGCGGAGGCGGTGGGCTCCTGGTCCAGCGAGGGGCCTTCGGCGGACGAGGTGGCGGTGGCAGCAGGGGGGCGGGTACCTGGCGGGGTGGGGGAGCCGCGGCAGGGAAGGTGCTACTTCTGGGAAAGAGCGGGGACAGCAGCAGTGCCAGCTCGGGGCTGGCCAGGCAGGGGAGAGCCCCTCGCGCCGGAGGCGAATAGGCTCCCACTGGGGACAGGCGGACAGGCAGCAGCTGCTCTTCTGGGGGACTCGGCGCCCCCAGCAGCCGCAGCCCGGCGCCGGGCCAGCTGGCCAGAGGCGCCAGGAGCAGAGACCCAGCTGCGCCCGCGCTCCCACCCTCCAACAGGGGGCGCCCGTCGGCCGAGAACCGGAAAACCAGGGGCCGAGGGAGCAGGAGGGGACGGGCTGCAGGCAGGGTTGGCCGGGCAGGTGCGGAGGGGCAGGAGGGCAGCGGGACCGGCAGCCAGGCAAGGAGGGGCGGGAGAAAGAGGGAGCAAAGAGTTAGTCCCGTCGCCCAACGACCCACCCGGCTTCCCTTTCCCGGAGCGCTCCCCGGTAGAAGGGGTCGAGGCGGACGGGCGACACAGAGTGGAGGGGAGACGGGCCGCGCTGTAGGCTTTGGAGGCGTGGGCGAGGCCGAGGCCCAGCCCTCCTCCCGCCTCCTCCTGCTGCCCCTTACCCTCAAGACCCGCCTGCGCGCCGGGTTCCTCCCGCTCCTCCGCGGCGGAGGCCCCCTGGCCGGCCGCGGGGCTGGCCGCCCTGCCCTCCTCCGGCTGCCCCTCCTCTATGGGCTGCAGCCCAGGTCGG